AGTCGAAGATAAGCTCTACATTTGGATCGATAGCATGCGCCGCGCCAATTTGCCGGTTTCGCCATCGATGGCAATCGTCAGAGCAAAGCAGATTGCTGAAGAGCTAGGTATTTTTGAGACTGATTTTAAAGCCTCTTGGCAATGGTTGAGTCGTTTCCGAGCACGCAAAGGGCTGTAGAAAATTCTGTTGCATGGGGAAGGAGCAGAAGTAAACAAAGATGATCCGCTACAGCTACCCTCCAAGTCGGAACTGTCTTCCTCTACCCACATTGGGAATCGTGCGTGGTGTTAGAGGGACTGTTGTGAACAGCGCTCTCTTACATTAGTACAGTACGCTTTTCGCTATGAATACACTTTGAAAACCGCAAGTTACTGCGGCTTCTCTCTTCAAAGCTTAGTCTAAGTACATATCAATGTTGCTGCTGTAAGAAATTAAAGGGTTTTTAGATAAGAATTACATTTTTGAAAATTCTATATTTTGTACCAAAACTATCACAGATTCTTTTCCTGGCCAAAAGTGCTTTCTATTTTATGCACAGGTGGCTATAGACATCACAAAAGCTCACGAGGACGTCATCGCCGGGCATCAAATGCTTTTTACTTTGTGTCAATTCGTTGGCTGATGGTGTTTCAGCCAGGCAAGACTAAAGTTATGTCTTGCATTTAGGCCTCGACCCTAAAAGCGTTCCATGTTTTCAAGATCTGCAATTTTTGGAAATTAACACGATTCTTCGACTGTTTACTAGTGCCTCCGCCAATAGTCACACGAATGTTGTAATAGCTTTCGGCATCTTGATAAATCCGCGTACCATCTCTCGTAAAATAGCCGCGCGGCGTACGTAATTACCTTGACGCTCCTCAATCTATATATCTTTTTACTGTTTTTCAAAATCCCAAATAGTGTTATTGACAGCCAAAAACCCTTGGTGCGAGTCACCATCGTTTTCAAAGAATATCGCTCGGTTAAGGCCTGGGTCATATTGAACAGGACCTCGACGAGATATCTGACCAGTAAACCGCCCTACGCCAACTGGGGATTGGCGTTTCCTCGCGAGGGGCTTGTCAGTCAGCCCTGTTTGGGAGCTTATCACTTAGCGACGAGAGAAGGTGAAACGCATGACGCAATTGTTTGCTGCTAAAAGAAAGCAAATACACGGTGCTACTTGGCAGCTATTTTGCTCGGGAACCTCAAGCCAAGCTTTGGAGGCAAAAGTGGCGGAAAGCTGCGGTCTCTAGAATATATTTCTATCGAGGGGAGTGTTAGCGAGCTTGTGTTGTGGTCTGCCGGTTTGATCCCGGTTATGACAGGACTAGACACACGCCCCCGCCGGATACGTTTGGCGGTCGGAAGAAGGCGATTAATGCTTTATTTTGACCTTCAGCATTCGACAGTAATTTCAGATTTGGGTGCTACTCATAGAATTAGGCTACATCATAAGTCATTATTTTTTTATTAGTCTTATTCTTCTTGTCTCAGATTTGCGCGTCAAAAGTTGAAATGCATACGAGCTTTTCTGGGTAGTGCGTTTGTATTAAGTATGGATTGGGAAAGTTTTGTATCATTTCTAATAAGGTTTTGTCGTTGTTGTGTTTAATATAAGAGTGCAAAACGTCACAGTATAGTTTTTCAGACTTCTGTGAAGCTACCAATGTGCCGTCGTCCCGCAAAGACTCGTTTAAATCGGCCGTTTTATTGGAGATACTTAGAGCTTGACTTTAGTAAATCTAACATCATCGCATCATTCTTACATTTGATAATTTCCTAGCCAACAATGATGCTAGGAGGCTGTCAAGGAAACAGCATCTATGTATGCTATTTAATTGCACCACATGTATAGTAGGCCTGTCTCCCTCTTTACTCCCCTCGCAGAATGTAACCTTAATGAGCAACCAAAACTCTTAAAATCCAACACTTTTCTTGCAAATTAAGTACCCCTCGCAAGGTACACAACGTTTAGCCGCCAACCAATAGCTAATGGGTTCATCAAAGGTGAAGCACCGCGTCGGTCGAGCGTCAACCCAGCCGCAGCGCAAGAAGCGCGCGCTTGGAGATGACACCTTTGACTGGGGGAAGAGTGATAGAGAAGACGTAATTGCGTCAGATAGCGAAGATAGTGCACATGCTGGCGATGCTAGTGACAACGAAAGCGATGTGGAGCAGAAAGAGACAACACAGGAAAAGCGTTTGCGTCTAGCAAAAGAATACCTGGGTAAAATTACGGCGCAGGAGATCGGCGATACCGATAACGAAGGTGGTGAAGGTGACGGCGTGGAAGAGCGCTTGGGAGAACGGCTGAAGCAGGACGCACTAAATGCGATGGGCAAGCTCTTTAAGAAGGTCGCGGCCGAATACTTGGACTATGAGTTTGATATCGCTTCGACCAAATTTCTTAGAGGTCACCGCCTGTCTGTTACCAGCTTATGTCTTTTGGAAGATGGTGAGATCGCCTATTCAGGCGCCAAGGACGGATCGCTGCTGCGGTGGGACTTAAAACAGCAGAAGAAGAGAGAGATTACGCTGCCTCACGACGATGTGGCTGCCGAGAAAGCGACGACAGACAGAGATCGCTGCATTTTGGCGTTGGCTGTCAGCTCAGATGGTAAATTTCTAGCCAGCGGTGGCCGCGACAAGCTCGTTCGTGTGTGGGATGCGAAAACAGGTCAACTGAAGGAAAGCTTCTCAGGACATCGCGATGCTGTGTCAGCGCTGGCTTTTCGTCTGCGATCGCATTCACTGTTTTCAGGATCGTTAGACCGATCGATCAAGCACTGGAACCTCACTGAAATGGGATACGTTGAGACACTTTTTGGTCATCAGAGCGAGGTGAATGCACTTGACAGCTTATACAAAGAGCGGGTGGTGAGTTGCGGTCGTGATCGTAGTGTGCGTCTGTGGAAAATTCCTGAAGAAACTCAGCTGGTTTTTTACGGCAACTCGGGCTCAATAGATTGTGTCGGAATGGTCACAGACGAATACTATGTTACAGGTGGAGATGGCGGTTCTCTTTCCCTTTGGTTTAACGGCCGTAAAAAACCCGTCTGCGTCATCGCCAACGCTCACGGCGGCAAGTGGATCAACAGCGTGGCTGTCATGCCGCGCACGGACCTCATTGCTTCCGGATCATGTGATGGGCACATTCGATTGTGGCAAGCCAACCTCCAGGAACGCTCACTCATCTTTGTGGCTTCGGTTCCGCTAGAAGGATTTATAAATGCACTGTGTTTCGATGCCAAGGCTCGCTTTTTACTTGCAGGTATAGGTCAGGAGCACCGCCTTGGTCGATGGGAAAAGTTGATTGTTAAAAATGGCATCGCGATTATAGCTTTGCCAAACATTGATCGCGAACAGCAAGAGAAAAATGGGGATGTAGAAGCGGCTGAAAGGGGTTGCGAGTGTTAAACAAATGCTCCAATTGATATTTTAAAGTAGCCTATCGCAGCTAAAAATTAACGCACTTTACGGTGCTCAAACGTAACAGGCAGGATGCACATGTAGTTTGTACGTGCGACCAATCGTATTGTTTCATTAGTAGATGTCATTAGGCTGGATATATAATAATGTGTGCTACTTTCTATCCAAAACGTATTGAGGACACGCCCCCAGGGGGTGCATGAATCCGTGTAATGCGACGATCTGTAAGAACATTGCCTGTGTTTTGATTAGACCCGCATGCATACTGATTTGAAGAAATTTGTGCATGTGTTGCCGATTGTGCCTGACCAGTTTGATAAATTAGATTGCAAAAGTTGCCACTATCACCAGCACGACCATCATCTTTCGCAAGAGCAACCGACATCTCGGACATCTTAGTGCGCATCATGAGACATTTATGACCAGTAAATTGACTTGAATCATCGCTCCGACGGTAGATTAGCGACCATACCGAAGAACCTCCTCCTGGTGGTGCATGAAGGCGAGTGCTAGGCTTATCTTGCAAAAAGTTATCGACGTTCTGGTTCACTTGATAGCCTGATCGAGCCATGAGGACGGGCAGCTGAGGCAGGTAAAGAAACTGGAAATGAGCCATTTGTAGACATCCAGGCAAAGAGGTATTTTTGAAAGAAATTATCAGGTTGTCTAGAATAGCCTTCTTGCGAGAACCGGCTATCTCGTTGACAATCTGTACGAGTTGTTATAATAATAAGTCTTGTGAATGCTACCCACAAATTGAACCTGTAGAAAGTTGGCGCTAAATTCTAAGCAAATATGATCTTTGATTGATCTGCAAGCATTTCGACTCAGTTATATCGATCGGCACAAACAGCATGAGCACCAATTTCACTATACTCTTGCTTGGCTACCCACAATTGCTGAAAGGAACCTAAAGATGCCAAAATGGATCCACCGATAAAGACGCTGAATTGTCGTTCAATTTTCGTGACCGTCGTAAAGCGAACTTTAAAGGTGCTAGGCACCATGCGTGTGATTTCTGCATTTAGACGCTCTGTAATACCAGGAGTGAGACTACCTCCTCCACACAAAATAATATTGCTCAGCATGTCTCTTCGCAAGTCGGCATCACAGAGCTGTACGGCATCGTGCAGCATATTGTGCAGTCCCTTTTTGAAGACTTGCGCCGTCGCTGCAGCGTGCTCTTCATTCTTGACCACAGCACCACCAAAGCTTTTCGGGTATAACAAAAATTCTGGAACTTGATACCGTTCTTTTCCCAGAACAATCGTCTGCCCATCAGGCAATTCAAAAAAAAACTCTAAATTTTCTGGCGGCGACACTTGCTTGGGCGAGTTCAGGTTACCTTGCCAAAAGGGCGCCTCAGACATGACACACGTAGCCTCTCGCATATTTTTGAACAGGTCTGCTTTTGTAAACTCAATATAACTAAGAGGTATGACTGGTCGTGTCGTGAGCTCCTCGGGCAGCGAAATAGTTCCCAAAAGTCCCGTCTGCAAATTTAGCTTTCTTTCAAAAGTCCCTTTTGGCCTTATTGTGAATGGTTGTAGTTTCTGCGTCACCACCAAGTGCTCTAAATACTCAGACAACTGATTGCACCCCACTGACGAGTATTGCGCCGATGTCTGTAAAGCATATCCATCGTATACTGGCACAACACGAGAAGCTCCAGCGCCAATTTCTGCTATCAAAGCCATCGATTTTCCAAATGCGAAAGCATCTAGCATCGCATCTTTGGCAATATAAAAAGCTGGCACCTGGAAGGTCTCGAACATCATCTCTAGATACTTCTCGCGGTCCCGCGACGCCGCGTTAGCCAGCGCATCATTGGCAAAGCACGAGGCTGAAGACGTGATGACTGGGTGGCTTTTGGGATTCACACATAAGCGGCTGAACGCGTAAGCCCAAATCTTTTCTAGTGCGTCCCAGTTGGCCACCGCACAGGCCTCAATGGGGCGCACAACCTCCAAGTCGTGTCGGTGCCAAAGGTCCTCAAGAACGGCATCTTTTGAAGAGTGAGCTGGCGGATATAGACCCACCACGCTAGGGAAAACTCGCTGCGGTGTGTCTTCCCCCGCCATACCAAACTTGCTTAGCGCCGAACCTACGTCGCCTACAATGGCTTCCACATCATCTCCGCAGTACATGGCAGAATTTCGGTATACATCGTGCAGCACCAGTACATCCAGAAAAGTAAAATCAAGTTTGAAAGCAGCGAGCCACATTATCCGGATACAATACTATAAAAATAATATGCCAAACTTTATGACTGTGGTGTATTTAGTTGCCTGGTTCTAAAGTGACACATGTGCAAAATTTCGTCGGTAGTAATTTGTCCAAGTTAATACACACTCATCACGTTTTAGTAAGCAAACGTAGCGCGTAGCCATATTGAGAAGATAAGGTAATGAAACTGATAGAGTATGTTCGTTCACCAGCAATTTGACGAGCAGTGTCTTTGAGGCACAACAGAACTCAGTTTTCCCCCAGTAGGGCGCCCCGCGTGTAACGGGGTTACACGAACCCTGATAACCGGGGTTTCTGTTTCACGCGAGACGTGCATGGTGTAACCATACCCAAACTATAATACGGTACGGCTAGGTAGCCAGCAGTTATACATGTATTTAGATTTTACTATATATATTAGTATATTTAGGAAAATCTTAACTATTAAAATTAGGATAAATAAATGAAAATTAGTTTTGGAGATTAAACCGAAGAGTCGACTAGCCTTGGGAAGGCAATAATTACTCTTGGAGTAAGCGGATTGCGATCCACTAACTCAAACTTGGTTCTTGTAAAGAACGAAAGGTCGTTGACCTAAATTACGCTTCCTCAAGCGCTTAGCAACGGCTGCCCCGCTGCACTTGGTAGCACTTGTAGTCTATTTACACCTGAGTCGTTTCGACTGATCCTCTGTGAGGATGGAACAAATTTCCTCTTTGCCCCAGGGCATGCAGGACAGGCTTAAAAAGCTGACGTCTTACTTGGCCCTGAGGGCGTGCACTGAGGGCGTGCAACACCTTGTAGCACAAGGCCCCGAGGCAATTGGTGCGCGTCTAGAGGCGTTTTCGAGTTACGAATATGCGCTGCTAGAGCACCTGCAGCAGAAGATGTCTGCACTGTTTGCGTCTATGACGCCACCGTCGGTGACGGAAGACTCCCCCCGACCTAAGCCGCTCAAGGTGAGCATGAAGGTCTTTGAGGGGAAGGATGGAGAGAATTTTCTGCTCTGGGTGAGAGGGTGTTGAGATGGCCATCGCATCCGCCATGCTCTGGACCGAGCGACAGCGCGTGGCGCTAGCCATCTCCAAGCTCGGCGGTCGAGCGCGAGAATGGGCACTGACGTGCGGCACTTCGGTCGGAGCTGTGTTTCCCTCCTGGGCGGAGCTGAAATTACAGCTCTCCCGAGTGTTCTCGCCGCCTAATCAGGCGTACCGCGTGCGATCGCGTTTCCTGCCGCCCGACAGAGCAACGAGGTATTGGTTGACTTTGTTCAAGAGATGCGAACTGC